TCTCCTTACAAAAACCTTGCTTAACCAAATGAGCTTTGGCAAATTTCTCTCCCTTCGATTAAAATATTCTACCACCCTTTATCTGGAAAGAACTACTTATATTTCGAGGGCGATTTCCATTTATAACATCGGCCGCAAACTGTCGAGAAGTGCAAAATATTTTTAACTTTACTTAGAGAACATGCTATCGCATGTACAAACTGCACGGTGGTAAAGTAGTACTAGTGAGTTCCACTTCATGATAAATCGTTTCTCTGTTGGTGAGTTTCATAATAGTAGTGCGGTTGCTCCGTATGGAACAGAATAAGTTTCATTGAAGCAATGAGATTTGCCCTACTGCGTCATGATCGTCTCTTTAGGTGCCACTTCCAACTTTAGAACTGATTGTGTAATTTTAGGGCGAGAGCAGTGTAGTTGTTTTTGCCCAATTTTCCATAGTTTCAGGTAACTTTTTGGGCATCGAGTAGTGCTTATCTGAGTATTGCTTCACACAAAAAACGCTATTGGTCAGCCTCTTAGTGTGCACATATTCCATTCAATATCACTCGAGGACTGTACTATCTGTTGACCATTTTCTTTTTTCAATACGCTTTCCATGAGTTCTATTGGTGTCCTTTTTTGATTGACACTCCTCGAGTTATGTGCTACGCTTCCAACTCAGCCTACTTTCTTAAAGAGGTTCATCAGCTTGTTGTTCAGTGGTGGCCTCTTCCCACTTACTGCACTACCCTCGTTTTGCCAAATCCACTCAAAATGAAACCACAAATCCAATCAGCGCGAAGGATCAAAAGGAGAGTAATATTATTGGAAAAAGGCAGCAGCATTTAGGAAAGGCTTTGGTGAAGAAAGAGATGAGCTCCAGCGATTCTTTGCTGCCACCTGAGTGGCTGGCCAAACCGCCGTCGGAATTCGCCTCTCCTTCGACTACTATCCCTGCTTCGAACGTGAAATCGACAAAGCATGTGTCTGCTTCAAAAAATCCGCTTTCACAGACCCTCCCTCCGCCTATGAAGCACAGCAACTTGAACGCGACTCCCTCTCTATTAGGACGATTGGTTAGCTCTAGTCAATTTTTTCCTTGTTTTTGCAGTTTTCTAAATTTTTTTACTAATAAATACTCTAATCACTCCTAAAATTATTCACTATTGTTCCTTATTGCCTGCCTTATCACGTTTAGGTAGCTCATTTTGATTAATTGCTTGTCTTCTGATAAATTCATCCAACAGGAATATTTGAGCTTCTTATTTTCCTTGAAATTGCTACTCACTGATAATCGTTTTAGGGTTTAATTTGTTACAGCCTGTTCAGTCGTGTCCACAGTCCTCCCAGCACCCACAAAATCGTCAAGAAAAACATCAGCTGCGACACATACCGACCACTGCCGATCAGACAGTTGCGTCACCGCATTTGTTGCAACCAAGTTCTGTTCCTATTATATATCCCACCTCGGAGGCGCAGCTACCGCCAAATCCGCAGGCCCCCACCCTTTTCCCCCCCAGTATGTTCGCCTTTCTTATTTCTATTATTTTGCGTACGCGTTATCTCGCTATTGCTCATTTTCTTTGTCTCTATCACGCATTTTAGGCACATGGTGCCTTAGTTCACCAGGTTGGTGTCCCGAAACCTGTCCATCACAATCCGAGCAGAATTCTGAGGTGTCGCCACTGTGGGCCCCGGTAGATCCACGCTTTGTGGCCTACTGGCATAACGATGGGAGCCTAGTTTTCGTGGATTCGGCCACCAATCAGGTGCTATCTGTTGAACAGCTTCGAGACCTGTACTTCCCTTTTGGACAACAGCCTTTGCAACTCACTCAATCCCCAGAATACTTTGCTCCCCAACAGTTACACCTGCAATCTATTACGCCTTCTGTGAACGATTCCCACCTGTCAATGGCAGCTCAACTCCCGTAAGTACCTTCCACTTATACTCGAAGATGCATTCCGCTTCAGTTGTTCATTGATGTGCATTCCCTTAATGGTAATTCAGTGGTATGTACATTACAAAATAATGTCGCGAAATTCTTGCTTCGTAGTCTGTACGTCATCATAAATTTATTCAACTCTCGATGTTAGTATAAGTGCTAGTTCATGGATTTATCGTCTGTTTCTGTACTTTGCTTTCCTTTTTCTTTTGTCAGTGCGGACTTCGTTTTCCTTCCTTTGTAGAATACCTGAAAACACAAACAATATCGCACTTTTGATGCCTATTCAGGTGAGCCATTGTCTCGCTTATTCAATCGCGATTAAGGCTAGGGTTTATTCTCCGCCCAAAGTATGGTTGTCATTGTAATAGTCTCCTCTACCCACATTTTGATGATGTAAAGCCTCTTTAGACGTCCAGTTATAGCTTCGACTATATTAGAATCGTGTGAACGGTGTAAAAAAGAGCTTCAATGAAAGTTATTGGTGAAAATGGAATTGTAAACTCTTTGAGGGGTTCCCCAACTGCTCCTAATTAAGGGACGGATGTTTATTTCCTCTGAATGGGTATTTGCATGCTATTTACACCACTTCATTTCACTATTTGGACCCACCATTTTCCAGGCTCCACCACCGAATGTGCTGTGTTACCCCACAACGACAATGCCTTTTAGGTGGGTTAATAAGTTTCAAGTGGTTCTTTTGGATGATATGATATTACTTTTTCATCCATTACTTCTAGGTAAAGCAAGCCTCCATGAGGTCGAGGTGTCAATAGGCATCTTGCTCTTTTGGCTGGTTCCTCTCAGACTATCTTAGCTTTTTCCTTCTCCAGTCTCCTCCCTTCTTCCGGAAATGTCATTGGATCGTTTTGTACTAATATTCAGTAGCATCGCTTGGAAGGGGCTCCTTCTGATGGAACTTTACTGAATCTGTCATTAAATTATTCTATTATTCCACTCTTTCTCTGCGATTGACTAGAATTATATCCACAGGATGGGCTTGCGTTAAAGCATTCTGGATAGTGCTAATATGTTGATCCTCCGCATTTCGTTGTCGTCGTAATGGTCTTTTGCGGCTTTGGCAACTAAATGGAGTTAATTGATCGTGTCACGTTTCTTTGATAACATGATCTAGCACTTAATTAGTACCAACGTTGTGTTAGCGTCGTTATAACACTTATATTTGGCTAATATCACACCACTGCGTAGAGCGTTCCAGCATAAGTTGCAGTGAATAGGTAGCGAAACCGCCATTCATTTGAACGTCGTTCGGGTGTTCTGCGTTCGCAGTCCAGCTCATATGTGTAATTGTAGTCAAAAATACATACTAGACGGATTTTGAAGCCCAAAATAGCATATTTAGGACCGTGATGTTGGTCCACAAGTACTTACTCGCACTATATTTTGAAAGTGTTGAACAATGCAGTTGATAAGTTAGAGGGGTTGTCATGTTTTGCGTTCGCATCAGTACAGCCACTTCGCTGACACCCACTGTGGCTTCACCAGTAGATCGTCCAAGATTCCCTTTAGTCGGGAGAATGTAACTTCGATGTTGTCACAAATCACAATCTTGTCGAAGAGGTGGCGGTAGTTTCGTTCAATTTCTTGACTATGTTCAAGTGTTCTGCGGAAATCTTCATCCTGCGATGCAAAAATGGTTTAGAAATCAAATGGGATAGCGGGTGTCCTCACCTAGCGCTGATTTAACTAACGCATTTTTATGTTTAATAATGGCCTTCGTATTGCGGCTCTCCCTAGTCGTGCGTCTCGCAGCCACGCTCATTGCCTCGTCACATGCACAACTGCGATTCGTAGGCGGATTTGTTGCGGGCCTTGTAGTTAAACAGTTCCGTCTGGTGGCAACTTAACTGGCGAATTTCACTTGAGTAAAGAGTGGAGGCAATGTTCCTGCTTCTCCGCCATTGCCTAACATTTTTCTTTCATATATGCAAATCAAGTGATTATGCGGTACTGCCATGTGACAGGAATGAACCAGCCATGTTTAATGGTTTAGGGAGGTGTGAGCTCTAAATAAAAAGTTTCAACTTTAACAATGGTTAAATAAGTTAAATGTGCAAATTTTGACCTGCTTAAAAAAGTGAATCGTAGGTTGCCATATGGCGAGATTTTCAAGCAGTACTAGAAATTGTAGTAATCATCGAAAGTTGACACCGCTATGACAGCATTTCCTGCCTTCATCTCCGAAGCAAATTTTGATGCAGTATGCGGTCGGTATTTAGTGGATCTGGCTCACTTATCATTACTGCCAGCACTAATGAAGTGCACGATTGCGAAAGTGATTGGCATAGGCATAAAAAGGCAGATATTTGGTAGTCGTGCGGCCATCATATGAAAGTGGATACCACTTGGCTACATTCGATTTGTTGCACTGTGTATACAAATAAGCCAGCTCTTGTTGACTGTAAAGTAATCTCAATTATTCCTTCTTGGTCATAACACATTTGATGGACAAATCTGCCCTTACTTGATGGGTTCATAATGCTCAGTAGCGACTGAAACCAGTTTCTTCGACCATCCCATAGAGCAAACGATACGTTGTGAAGTTTTTTATGAAAAGCACATGAAAAATCAGGATAACGAATGAGTCAAGGCTAACCATACGCCTATCAAAGTCAGTTGTGAGGTGGTGGTTTCCAGATCACGGTAATCAATCTTATGTAATGCCTAAGCGTGTACAATCTATGCAGTTGAACAGTTCTGATCTAACAGTAAGCGCGAGTATTCTTGAACATTTATGGTTTAAAAAAGATGGCGCGTCCAGATGCTAGGGCAAATGGTGATGTGACAAATTTTTCGATGTCTAG